CCGGGGCAGAGAGCAAAAGCATACAGCCTGACCGATCGGCGTGTTGAAGCTGATCGAGTGAGGGACCGTCCCTCTAAAATCCCTCTTTTAGTGGCCCGGCAGAAACTGGCTCGATCTCCAGTAACCCCAGGAAAGCCCCACTTTGGGCCTCACCACCTCGACGGTGGACCCCCCGGGTTAACATTTAGACCTTTTAGGGCAATACTTGGGGTACCAGTTCGTTGTTTTCCTCCCTTACTAGATTCCCCCATTTCGCCTTGGTTTTTTCCTTATCTACGTGCCATGCATCGCTCAGTTTTAATTTGAAAATGTCTATCGTTACCCTATCGTTTATCTTGTCCAGTACCGATTTCCCTGTTATTTCCCAGTTGTGAAGCTATTGTCAAAGGTTCTTCTATTACGTTGACACCACAGTGCCCACACTGTCTCCATTATTAGTACTTTGTACATTTCTGTCATCTCCTTGGATTCCTTCCCATCCTTTTTTATGGTTACTACTGGTATGGCTTCAATGGTGGCAATTGTGGGTTTCTTGAAATTCTCCTTCCCATGTGCTCTTTCCCATAGCTGTCCGGCCATGTTCCATGCTTCCTCGCACCTATTGTCTCTGCATTTCAAGACGATATGTTCTACTGACTCGATATCTCCACAGGTGCAGTACGCCTTATCTTCCCAACCGGGCATGTGCAGGAAGAATTTACCACATTTTACTCGATCGTTCCTTATTTTCCAGATGAAATCGCTATGCTTGTTCGTGAAAGGACCTTTCCATAGGCTTGTTCTTATGGTTCTTTCGCTTGATTTGTCCCATCCCATTTCTCTTCTCGTTCCCTCTGTTTCTTTTTCCCGTCTTGTTCTCTCTTTCTGTTCTCTTTCCCTGATAACCAATTTGTAGGCCATTTTTTGTGTTAAGGAGCTCAGGCGGGCTCCACTTCGTACGAACCTATTGTATGTCTTATGGTTTGGTTCTCTCACTGGTAGGTCTTCTCTTTCCATTTCCCGTTTAGCAATCTCGTCCAAATGGGTCCTTGTGTCCTTAGTAATCCACTCGAAGTGTACTGCATTGCCCTTTCTTCTTATTGTGCTTACTAGGCTTTTCCATTCTCTTACATTTTCCATGTCTACCCAATCGGAGTCTTCTATCTCTTCTAGTTTGTCCGTTAAAACCTCTATGATCCTCTTATTTTGGGTTCTGATCGTGATCTCTCCTTTGGCTTCTATTTGTTCCCTTATGGCTAAGATTTCTCCTCCTTCTACGTTTCCGTCATATTTAAAGTAGTATCCTTCTGTTGACTTTGTCGTTCCGTCTCTCGCTATTCCCACTTGTATAGTGCTTCCGTCGTGTGATAGTTGTTTTTTGACTGTTATGGACACAGTCCAAGTATGTCTTGATCCTTTCATTCTCCTGGCCGGGCGAGTTGTTAATCTCTCTTCCTTCCCTGTGATATATTTTTGGCCCTTTGTAAATATCCTTATCGCTTTCCTTGGGTGTCCCGTTTCTGTTACATTTGGGTCTACTCTTCTCCCTTCTGATTTCAGGTCCTTGGATTTCTCTTTCTTTTTTGTTCTTGGTGTCATGTCTAGTCCATCTTTTCGTGGTGTCTGTAGTGTCGGGTTCATTTTGTTTGATACCCTACTCATCAGCGCGTCCTTCATTGCCGCGCACGCAGGTGCGTTTTGGCAGTTTTGGTTCCCAGTGTCCCACCGGAGGTCTCCTACGGTCTTGATACCATGATTGTTTCTTAGACATCTTGCTGCTTTCACTTAAGTCACCTAGGAAGTCTAGTCTATTAGACCCTTCAATTTTCAACTTCATGGGGTCTAGTAGAGGGTCTGGAAGTGTAACCTGGGAACTCCACCTGCTCTCCAATTCCTGTTCCACCTCTTCCACCCTCCATTGGCTCCTCTCACCATCCACTGTCCGCCTTCCAATTCCTGATTTGATGCCATCAGACAGGAGTCTTGGCGGGGTGTCTGGGGTCCTCGCGTGGAAGTTGATCACTAGCGGTGGGGCACTGGTGCTGCCAGGCTAGCCTAGCATCAAATGCTACTTCTACCTCACCCTACTATATATCTATCAGTAATGTAACCATCCAACCTTCATAATTCCTTTCTATGGCTATACATTATTGGTAGGTAGACACTCTCACTATACTTGCAAGTTGCTTCAATCCTTAGTGATTACATGACCTCACTGACATAGTGCCGTATGGCATATGAGAGGGCAGCCAACCCTGCGTGAACTGTAAGAGGAGGCTTCGTGATGTACTCAGTGACATAGTACATGGACGCCTTTGTGTCCTTTCCAGAGCCGATGAATTTCACGTCGTGATTGCACTGTGTCAGAAAAGTGGCCAAAGGTGTATAATGAGTCATGCGAGCGTTGAGGCGCTTAACACTGACTCTATAGTACATGGACGCCTTTGTGTCCTTTCCAGAGCCGATGAATTTCACGTCGTGATTGCACTGTGTCAGAAAAGTGGCCAAAGGTGTATAATGAGTCATGCGAGTGTTGAGGCGCTTAACACTAACTCTTCCTGTATCATGGTCAATATCAGTCTTCTCTTTTACTAATCCATCCATCCCAAAACGACAATTTATTTGTACTATTCCAGAGTAAACAAAGGCTTATTATAAGTTTTGACATCAGTTGTGGTTTGTATTTAGCGCACCCGCTACATGACACTAGGCATGGGCACCTCCTCTGGAGTGCTTGTAGAGGTCCCGTAGAAGTTCTCCTGGGTCTTGTCAACTTCCCGTGGAAGCTCATCTCACATCCCGCAAAGCCCATCCACTCCTCTGGAGTTTCCGTGGGAGCTCATCTCACCTCCCGCAAAGCCCATCCACTCCTCTGGAGTTCCCGTGGGAGCTCATCTCACCTCCCGCAAAGCCCATCCACTCCTCTGGAGTTCCCGTGGGAGCTCATCTCACCTCCCGCAAAGCCCATCCACTCCTCTGAGGTGCTTGTAGACTTCCTGTGGAAGCTCATCGCCCATCCACTCCCCTGGAATGCTTGTGGACTTCCCGTGGAAGTTCTCCCACTTACTCAACTTCGACTTCACAACTTCCTTTTCTGGTTCACTTCCAACCCACTAATCAAATTCAAATGTATCTACAGTGTGTCTTCCATATCATCATAGGTGTCCTGTCCATACAGCTCTCCTAAATACATCCCATCGACCACCTCCAAAAGCTCATCATCTCCCTCAATGTACCATTCATCTTCGTCGTCCTCCAATGCCAAGTCATCATGATCGTTGTCTTGACATGTTACAACTTTGTCGAATCCCACATTGAACGCGAACTCCTGCTGCGATACACGGTAAATGTGAGTTCTTAACTCCCGCTCCGTGGGGCCCCATCCATCGCCGTCATCACCAGGAATCCTTACCACATCTTTCGACCACTCCATGATCAAGCTGAGCAAGTCATTCTGACGATTAACAAGCGCCCAGCGTAAATCGTCGTTGGACACCAGTGCCAAGGCCGTTTGCAATCCCTTCCACACTGACCGAGACCATTGTTGAAGATGTTGCCGCTCCTCGACCAACCTTTCCTCCTCCTCTTCACATCGCAAAACTACCAGGTGTCCACGGATTCCATGTATCACAGCATCGTCAGCTAGCCACGGTGGTGCTTTTCCGTCGTCGTCGTCGTCCAACCCTCGCATATCCCAAATGGGGTCATCCACGTCAAGAGTAAACAGACGCTCCTTAGGAATGCGCTTTGGAACGATTGCGTTGCGCGGGGCCTTGCGTTGCTGTATCAGCGACTCCATGACACCAACTGTGTCGTTGTACCGCTTTACCAGCTTGAGGATATTTGGTTCGTGTCGCGACACTTGGGCCTGGATTTGAGCCTGTAATTTATTGTCTAATAATGATCAACATAACATTCATCTCTCGTTACTGGGTAAACGTACCGGTTGAGCTTGGGTTTCGGCTTGCTCTGTCCAATCGCTCCAGTTCAAACTTGCGCCCTCGAAGTTTATTGCAAATGCGACTTTTCAGTGCCGCAGCATTGAGGCGATTCTTCACGAAGTCGCTCTTGGACAACCGATCTAGACTGTCTTTGGCCGAAGCGCCTAGTGCACGCCGACGATTTGCGATTGTTTCGTTAAGTTCATTTATCTTCGTGGTTAGCGAGAGCGATAGAGTGACGAGGTCCTCCATGTCCATTTCGACTGTCGTGTCGTTGCGGCGAATTTGTCGGGTAATCTTGGCCATCTGCACCTTCAAGCCATCCCGATGCTTGACCAGCGCCAGTATCTCCTTCACCGCACGCTTGGCTGCATGTTCTGAGGCCTTCGCCAGCGGTTTAGTCTGGCTTTCTACTTGCTCCTCCCAGTACTTCGATAACACCTCTCTCGGACAACCAGACTTGTTTATCAATGTCGCTCCTTCTGCCTTCTTCTTCTGACAATGGTCCCACTTCCGGCCCAGCCAACGTCCCAAAGAACGAAGTGATTTCGCGTTGAGATATGCCACCAGTCCGTCGATTGCAAACAGTCGTTGATGGTACTGTCCGACATACCCGGTTAGCAAACCTCACTTCGTATCAAATCAAAGCACGCACCCCAGACACACGTAACGCCGGTATAAGTATTTTGATTGCAGCCCAAAAGCGTTCACAACCCTCCCCATCTGATAACCCGAATCCATCGCATTTGCGTGGATGGTAGATGAGCTGACAGGCCCACTGATGCCCGTACGCATGGAATACAGAGACGCTCCAGCGTATTCGGGGGTGATACTCCTTTAGAAAACCCCATTTCATACAGCTGCGATGGAGCTGGCAGGCTACATCGTAAAGAAGGCCGAGTGTCATGTCATCCGGAACATGGGAGAAAAACTTGAGAAGCAGTGCAATGGCGTAGTACTGCCTTTCCCCTGCGGACATCATGTTAACCAGCCACAAAGGCCTATCATGGCGACATAGGAGTGCCATCAGTCCCGTATCTGCGAATAGGCGAGTGCTGGCCTTCGTTCGTTTTTCGTCGGCGGCGGTGAAAGACTCCAAACAACCATCGAGGACCGAGTTAGGCACGCGCATACCAGAATCGACTGAATCTTCTTCTGCGCCTGTGTTGGGTTTGGTCCTTGCTGGCCCTGTTGCTCCTCTCGACTCCGATGGCCGAAGGCCCTCCACATATGCCTTGGCTTTCGAAACTTCCTCTTGTAAAAGGAATACTGAGAAGGGGTGAATTAACGGTGGGCTTCGGTCCTCTCCGCGTGCTGGATTTCGTCGCTTCTGTGTAAAGTTTGCATCCAAGCAGAGGATAACCTCTGATCTGACCATTCTTCAATCATAGACAAAGTTCAAGATAAGAAAGACTTACTGGCATTCACGAGTACCTCGGCGAGAGCTGAAACACAAGGGACATCGGTCTTGAAGATAACGAGACGGCTCATCCAACCCAACATCTTCCCAATCGTTATCCTGATCCTCTATCGCGTCAAACGCTAGATCTTCCCCGCAGACGTCCTCCCCCTCCCGCCAAGCTGATTCCCCATTGAACACTTGAAGCGAGTCCCGGGAAGCATTCCACACCACGCTATCAATCACGGCCTCCTTCTGGGCAACCATGTAGTTGTACCACTTCACCGTGGAGGCCATCTTCCTGCGTAAAACGTCTTGACCTTTGATCGGATATCCTTGACGAGCGAGGCATGCTTCTAAGGATCCTGACCAAGCCGATAGGTTCAACGCCGAGCGAGCGTACAGTTCGTGGATGAAGTCGAGCATTCGAATATCGACGGCGAGGGCTGGACGTTTGGGTGATGAGGGAAACAAGCCCATTTGGACGAGTTGGACCCCCGGCGAACAATTACAAGCAAAAACCTCTTCGACACCTGTGGTCAGCGTAATGACGAACTCCAAACGAGACACTGATGAAAGTATGCTTACGATTTTGGAAAATAGCTAGAACACGGCACTGAGGAGCGTTAGGACCGCATGCGCAACAAGGCATCACCCCTGACATGTCTCTGAGGTTGTCCGTAATCCGAAGAAGGTGAAGATAATGAGGAATTATCGCAGGTATGAGCCAATCGACCCATCTTCGAAACTGAACGATGTGCTTGGGATCTCGTTTGACAGGCGATCTGGACTTCCTAGGTGACACCGACTTCCGCCTAGGCGGCGTCCAAGCCACCGACCTGCGGGTTGCGCTTTGGCGGTAATTTCCCGAGGGCGCCATGACGTCCACCCGTGTCTTCAAGCGCAGAGAGGAAGTGCCGTACGGTCGACGAGCTTTCGTTTCCACCTTGGCTAGTTTCTTCATGCAAAAATCTAAGACAAGGAAGATTAGTGGGTTGCTTTGGTAGTGGAAGGAAGGAAGCAACTAAAGTGAAAAGACGTTGCATGGGTATTTTCCTGTGACTCATGTGCATCATCCAGCCAGGTCAAGGCAAGCAAGGAATCAATTAATTACTCATACAAATAGAAAAAGTGATTGCAAAATAGAAGAACGATACGAAAAGAACCTGGTAACGCATGCCTCCAAAACGCACACATAAAATCATCTGGCAATGTCGGACAAATCGATGTCAGTGATAAGATTTCCCGTATCGGTAATCAGCTCACCACGCAAGTCAGTGCCTGGCCCGTTGTCAGATGGAATCGATTGGGAAAAGCATGGCAGCGCTCACCTTAATCACGATGTTGATGACGTTGTTGCACGTGGACGAAGGGAGAGCGGATGGTCGCGATGGAGAGATACTTGGGGTAGGCGGCAAGGAACAACCGGGGCCCTTCCAAACTCCTCAAAGAACGCCGTGCAGTAATAACCCAGGACTCGTTGCTCAGCCTGCAGGTAATAGCGTAAATCACTATCCGGAAGCCCTCCTTTAATGTCCGTTGGACAACCGTCCCAGTCTTTCATGAGTTTTACCAAGCGGCGAACGCCTGTTCGACGGATCCGCCAATCGCTCGAAGACCAGAAACCATCGGAATTCGGAATTTCGTAGACGACATATGTCGGAGTGACCGCAGTGACATCGTCTTCTCCCAAGGCTAATCCGAAAATAGACCGAACTTGTTGGTCTCTCTCCCAACGAGCCTGCGTATCTTCTTGTGTCGTACCGGGAGGCCATTTGGAGGGCGCCTTCGTTCGATCCATGAAAAGTAATTCGAGACGCCAGTTGGTCTCGTGCAGTTCCCATATCACCTCCGCAACCAATCCTTCCGTAAGGGCGCTGGCGACGGCATCAGTTTGGAGCTCCACGCTCAAACTCCCATAGCTGAGAGTGGAAGTCGACGAAGCAATCTGCAGCAATCTGTCGAAATGCGCAATTGGCCGACAAATCTCCTTCGACTTAGAGGGTGGCTGGGAGTGTGACGATGAAGGTGTGGATGAAGGCGAAGACGAGGAAGACGCAAGAGGCGATTGCAAAGAGGAAGAGGACTGGTGTGACGACAGTCGTGCGGATTTTGACGTTTGGGTGATCGGCTTGCTGGGAAGCGACGGTGGTAAGGCCGGTAACGAGGCGGCTACTGGCTTTTGAGGAAGGAATGGAGGCAGCACTCTCGAGATAGGAACACCTTTCTTTGCTTGGGGCGGTGCATTAGGCTTCGGTGGGTTTTGGACGATCCGCTTCACGTTGATTGTTTCGTCGGCGGGTGGAAGAACTTGCTTTCTCGACAAGGCACTTTTAAGACGATGGAAGAACCCTCGCCACAGGTCTGACGTCAGCTCGGGAGCTTCTCCTTCCGATGCGTACCCGATAGTCCCTGTCGCTTTGAAAAGCGAGTTGAGTTGATGAGGTCGAGCCAAAAGCCAAGCTAAAACGAGAGTCGCCCGATCATCTGCCCTCGCCAACATAATGGGATCAGGGACTCCAAAGCCCAACTTCCAACCTTCGCGGCGATAGCGAGGCTGCTTCACGTCCACGGCCTTGAGTGCTGCCTGCCATGCATCTACGGGCTGAGGCCAGAAAGGAATACAGATGGATTTGAATCGTTCCAACTGCGACTCGTTGAGGGGCGGGAGTAATTCGCGCCTTTCCAATCGCGCTGACGTCGAGGTTTTCGATCCTATCGGATGGCTAGCAGTAGAGAGGGTTGGCGAAATCGACGAGCTTGATAACGATCTGGTCGATAAAGGCTGGCTGGAACTAGACGGGCCTGTCGATGTTGATGAACTTGACGATGATCTGGTGAATACGACGACTCGGTTTGATTGAGTGGAAGGGGAGGCTGGAGATTCATTAGAACACAGTTTTACTGGCAGAGGAATGAAAACACCAACCGGATGCTTCCTGGGATGCCGACGCTGCGCTGCCTTGGGCGAGATGACGTGTGAATGGAGAGAAGGTCGCGAGATGCTGGGGTTGGAGGGCCGCATTGACTCGGGTCGGTTGGCGAGGATACCCATCAGGACCTATGGCCCCTCGTCCGCTTGGAAGGCGCAGATCGATCATAGCACAACCCAGTCGCTGCGTCGGTCTGTACAGCTCTGGCGACGGGGTTCCTTCAGCGATGGGGGGATAAGGCGACACCACGAGACCCTCCTTGTAGTGGTCAAGAACGATCGTCGGCTGTCTTGGGTGTACGGCGCCGTGTAACACACAGTTGCGTGCTGGTCCATGCTTGAGCACTCTAAACGACGGCTGGAGATAAAAGCACGGGAGTCCCATCCTGTACAATCGCTGTGCCATAAGCCAATCTTCCGTGATGGCCCCCATACGATTGGTGTCGACCTCCGGAGGGCGTTCTCCTGGTTCCAACACGCCCTGGGTGCGAGGGAGAAAGATCGTCATGAAATCCACCCAGGCGTGGATGTCGAGGCACGCGCATTGGAATTCGGCGTTGGCGAGTAGAAGCTCTTTGTAGGTCATCGGGCAGGTTTCGAGTCGCATGAGAAGATCGTCCATATGTGTGACCATCGCTTTGAGAAATGTGCTGTTTTCTGCTCCCCTGCCCAACTTCTCTCTCTCCTTGAGATAGTCGCGCGCAATCCTCGCGTAGTCGTCCCTGTATCTTCGATATCTCTCCAACACGCCAGGCTTCAACATCCGGACCTCGCAGGAAGAATCGTAGCTGGAGATCAAGGGGCAGTCGGAAGGATAAGGCGTGAACTTGAGGAGAGGGCGCTCGGGGACGTCGGTAGGCATGGCTGCCGTGTACAGGTATCCGTCGACAGCGTAGATAGGATACTGAGTGCGGTCGTCTTCTCCATATCTCCCATCCGCCCTCGCTTGTACAACGCGCCAGCCCTTAGGAATGAATGGGATCCAATCGACGTTGGGACTTCCAGCCACCCAGTAATAGGCCTTGGTGCGGTCGAGCTTGAGATCGCCGGCTCGACTGACGACTTCATCGGGCTTCAAGGGTTCGGGAAGGATGTAGTAGACCATAATGTCGCTGGCATACCATGACCCTGAAGCTAGTTAGAAGGCCTCCATGGAAATCCAATCGATCTTGCTCACTTTTACCGTCCTTGTTCACTGGCCGCATATACGGCTCATACACGGGAGGAGGATCTTTAGGCATTCTTTATGATGTACGTCCACAATCAACGATACCTATAATAAAGCAAATAAAGTCAATACAGCGCGTGTTAAACACGCGGAGATACGGTATCACTGCCCTCAGCTAACCCCAAACCACCTTAGGTGAAGTTCGGCGGGTGAGGGCAGATCGAAGCACCACCTTTGGTGAAGTGCTTTGCAGAAGATAGATCCCTCGATAGCACAACGTTTCGTTAAGTGCAATCGCGGGAGTCTATCGTGATATCCTTCTCCAAGCACAACCTTGGGTTAAGTGCTCGAAGAAAACGGACGAACGTGGAAAGGAGAAGGGGTCGTGAGGGTAGAGAGGATGGAGGGCGGAGGGGACATGACACACGGAGTAAGCCAGCTGAGTTATGCTTACCTTAGACCCGACGTTTTGATATGCTTTGAGGAGACAGATACTAACTTGACGGCGCGAGGAGAAACGATGATGGCGGTCCTCTCTGAGAGCGTGAGTCAGCTGCCATCACGACTCGTGTGCTAAGTCATCGCGTCTCACGCTCCCGCGACCAACAAATGACCCTAACACCGTTACGCGACCGATAACCTCCCTCTATCCCTCTCTCCTCCTCGTACCTCACCTCGTCGTTTAAGCCTCTCCTTCCATACCCTGGCCATTTTAGGGACGTGTTAATCGAGTGTGGGCCAAATAGACGTAGAGGAAAGAGAGAGGTAAGTCTATCTTATCACTCCGCGATCGGATATGCCGCCATCGTGTTCGCTCGACTTCTCTCAGGGTGCCTCCTGCTCTCGTTACCCTTTCGATAACCACCACGTCGAGTGACGATCACGTCGCACAACCACCACGTTGCATAACGCCCTCCAGGCCAGCTCGAAAAGCAACTACAAGAGCTCGTCCGCCTTTTTCGCGCGTTTTTGACGCCTGGGACGGTAGTTGGGTGGTACACAGTCTTCTCCTCTGCGACTTGACGCAACGTCGTCGCTACGTGCTGGGGCAAATGACACTTAACGCAACGTTGTGTCTTTCCCCACTTTACTTCCCCTCCTTGAACTGAGATTTGACCAGAGGTCATCTCAGTCCTTCATCTTTATCAACCTTTTCTCGGACCTCTGACCTTCTGAAGCCGCCTTGTATTGAAGCACCCGTCATTTACCTCTCAAACCATCCTTCGTTCCACCCACATAAACCTACTCCTTGGCTTCATCTCCCGACCGCCACTTAACGCAACGTTGTGGCTTTTTACAGCGATGATAGTCTCTATAGTTTCTGAGCCACTTAACGAAACGTTGTGGCTTTGGCGCTTGGAGTCTTATTGTTGTGACTTGACCAAAGGTCGTCGCGTTTTATATTTGAACTCGCGTTGAATCGTCCAATTCACCTTTGAACTTACGTTGAATGGCTTAAACAACCACCTATCATCATTCGTTGTGTTACAGTCGTACGAAGGTTCGCCTTCAACGTGATCCTCGCCAGGAACACTGCGAATTTGGGCCTTTTGTTCGTCCTACCTTACATCTGGCAATGTTGAGACGCAGCTGGCTCTATTCCAGGGTAGCCGCTTGACCGCCTGTTCGCTTTCTCTTTACTGTACATCCTTGTCTTTTATTTCTTCTCTGGCATGTTGAGATGTTGCTGCCTCTATTCCAGGGTAGCCGCTTGACCGCCTGTTCGCTTTCTCTTTACTGTACATCCTTGTCTTTTATTTCTTCTCTGGCGTGGTTGAGATGTAGCTGGCTCTATTCCAGGGTAGCCGCTTGACTGCCAGTACAGTTTTCTCTTTGCTTTTCTCTTTGCTGGACTCCTTTTCCCTCATGGCTCCCCTTTATTTTTATTTTATTTGTCTCTTCCATCTTTTATCGTCTAGCGTTCGTTCGGTTCTCCTTTCACCCCATCTCTCCAGAGGCTCTTTGGCTTCCTCCACCCATTCCTTATTTCATTTTCATCAATCGCCTCGTTAACTTCGAACGAAGATGGTTGGAGGCGCCTGACTCGCTTCAAGCTTTAGCTCAGGGTCCTCCCTGGCTGTATTGATGGTGCGGACTTGGCCCTATAAAAGGCCTGGTAGTGTCGGCTAATCTCTTCGCAGCTCTCTCGTTTCGAAACACCTCATACAAACCACCATCGGACTTCAACCCCAACGAGAGACTTCAACTCTATGGCCAGGACTCGCAGTGCTAGTCGAGAAACAGGCGAACAACCTGTCGACCCCAACGAAGAGGGATGGATTCAGACTGGCCGGGATGGCAAGCACAGAGTAGGCCCTTACTTTCCTTCGAATGCATCTTCGCATCTTCTAACGTTGAATCTCCTTATACAGCCCGCGAGGAAAACGAGGGTTCGACAGCAATCCCTCGTTCAGTCTGCATGGGATCGGTCTTGCAGGTACTACAGATCCCACGTCACCCATAACTCTCTCCCATTCCCATTCCCATTCCTTTCCCCCTCCCATTCGCTGACAGCTGAGGTGGCACTTAACCAGAGGTTGTGCCGCAGCGCGCACTTGACGCAACGTCGTGCCGCTTGGTGGTGGATGTGGACTTGAGACATTTAACGCAACGTTATGCCTCAACCTCTTCCCCTCTGTTCGCACCTTCCTCGCCCCAACCATATTGGCGTAGCACTTAACCAAAGGTTGTGCTGTGGAGTGCATTTGACGCAACGTCATGCCTCCCTGGTGACTTTTGGAGCATTTAACGAAACGTTATGCTGCCATTGTTTCCAGTAGCCCTGCCAGAAGCACCGCTTTCATTTCGAACCGTCCTATTTATACATGTCTCGTTTTTCACAGTTTGATGCTGACGGATTGTTTTCTTTTTTTACTCAATTCCAGCAACACCCGCAACACCCAAGCGTCAGCTTCTATTCAACCAGCTCCCAAGCGTCTCCCAGTTCCGCCCCGTCCTTTCGTCCTAGTGCCCCATGTATCAACCCTCAAGGCCGGCAAGAAAACCAACACAAACGCGAAGGTTTCACGAACCCGGGGCGCATCCGGTTCCTCGAGCCGCAAGGAGACCTATGCCACCATCGCCAACTTACACTCTCCTGACCGTCTCCCAGTTATTCCTGAGGGTAGCTCCCCCCTCGAGCCGCAACCTGAATCCTCTGGGACGAAGCATGACACGAAGCATGACCGTCGTGAGCTCTCCGCCACCAGCCAAGGCAAGATGGTCAATAGCTCTGAGGACGGGGACCAGGCGAAGGCCATGAAGGCCAAGCAGACGAACCACGGCAATGAGCAGAGCAATCGCAACTCCAAGAAGAAGGCTAGGAACGAGGGTCTCAACACAGCAGACGGGAAGGAACCAACAAGCGCGGCTCGACAGGTCTCGGGAATGCTGTCCAAGGCAGCTCCCACCAAGTTCGCGACCGCTGACTCCCGAGGAGAAGCCCTGAAAAGGTGTGTTAGACTTCTTCAGTCGTTAATTTTGAGACTGATGTCGTTGAAGGGATGACACTGTTGATTCCTTTGTTATACCGTCTTCTCCGACTCCTGGACCATCTGGCCGTCTTCGCCTCCGAAGTTCACCGCGCCCTGAGAAGCAGCCGTTCCACAGGTACAAGGCATGGGGTAAGTGACCCACGCCCGCGATCATCTGCACAATGACTGAATTTACTTTAGATGATGAATGGGAGTTATTTGGCTATGAGTACCAACGAACCAGGACAGTTCCAGACCACGCCCTCAGTTCAATGGAGAAGCCAACCGGAGACATTTTGCAGCTGAAGCTCCCGCCCGCTTCGCGTATTCCCGGCCCCGATGAGCCAGTGCACTTTTACTATGGTCGCCAGTGGCCACAAGGCTATCATACTTCCGGCGTTGGCTTTCTGGGCAAGGGAAACCAAGGCGAGAGGATGGCTGCGCTGCAGAAGTATATCACTATCGTATCTTGGTACAACTGCGTCTCTCGGCAGCGGGAGCAACTTCCCGAAGGTTACACAGCTCCCCAGGCTCCTATCAGCATGACCTTAATGGACATTGAAAAGGATATATTCCGCGCAATTCGTGCTAACTCGACGCTGCTCCTCCAAATCGAAGCCCCCGATGGTCGACCGAAGCATGGCCGCCCAGGTTCCCCTCTCGGCTTTCGCTACTCCATCCCCACAAGTCGAGGAAAGCCTAATGGAGGCGATGCATGTCATCAGGCTGGCTACGACGAGGTAGAAGGGATACACTCCAACGGAGATGTTGACGAAGGTGGTGAGGAGATGGCTGAAGTGGTGGAAGAAATGGAGGTGGAAGAAATGGAGATGGACGAAATGGACGTCGATGAAGACCAGCCCGACACCCAACCATACGATCGCTATTCCTCACCAATTACTGGGGACGAGATCGGTGACCACAACGAGGTTGAGAGCCCTGCCCGGCTGTCCCCGGTCCCTGCTGGAATGGATCCCGATGATCCTTTCGTGGAGGGTGGTGAAGAAGGGGGGGAGCAACTGGGTGAAGGAGGAGAGGAGCAGGGAGACGAAGACAAGGACGAACATCACCTGCAAGAGTCGAGTGACGAAGGATCGAGCTACTCCGAAACCGTCAGGCAACAACGGAGACACAATCGCAGCAGGCGTAGCAGCCCGAGCGAACCCAGAGGAGACAATGAGTCAGAATCATTGCAGGGTTTAACTGAATCCAAAGGCAAGGGCAAAGCCCCTGCTAGAGCTCCTTCGCCCATTCGAAACTTGCGGGAGACCGACATTGCCCCTGAACGCTACGCCCCGCCGCTACCAGCATTCAGCCGAGAACAATCCGCCAGAGAGGTAGCAGCCGAATGTCGGGATATCGTTGAATACGGCGCATATATCACCGGAAAATCGCCAGAGGGTTTTTTGGCGCTGATGGGCTACGACCGTCACCCAGATTCAAGTCGAAAGCCTCAGCCATGGAATAAGTACCGGCAACTGGAGAAACTCACCGCCGAGGAGGAGGGGCGGCCAGGTAAGTCGCGCGCTACCAATTAACAAATCAGCTGCTCATTCTTGTTTCTCTCAGTTCCAACCCAAGACGATATGAAGGCCGAGTACGATCGTCTCTACAAAGAACTGTCGAAGCAGGAAAAAGACCAGCTGGTGGCGAAATGGAACGAGCAAATCCAGACGATTTTGAAGAGCCGTCGAACAGACAATGTGGAGGATCAGGAGGTGATGCATCTCATCAAGGAATCTCAGGCGATGGTAAGTGCTGCTGCCATTTTATTCAATTCGCCTGCTGAAGTCTGTGTCATAGATGAACAGGATATCCAACTCTGGAAAACTGGAAGGCATTCTCTACGTGCTAGGGGTCGAGTCCGGATACACCGGTGTCTCTCGCGTTGTTGTTGGCAGCAGCCTCATGGAGGAACTCCTCGACGACGATGATGCCGATATTCGCCAAACAATTGACAGAGCTGCCATCACAGTATCGTGAGTACCCTTAGATTCACCAGGCATGAACCTCATTGCTCAATGGAGACGATGGTCTAGTGCGGTGAAGACCGGAGTGATGGAGGCCTCACAAGCAAAGCTTTCAGAGGTGCTAGGTCTTCGTAAGGCCTCAAGAACATCAGACGAGGACCCTGTCCCAAAAGCGGCTAAACAAGAGACGAAGTCTATGAAGCGCCCCGGGGGATCAACGAAGACAGAACCATCAACAGACACCCTTTGGGGACTATTCGAAGAATCAGCGTGTCGACAGCCAGACATACCTGAAGAAATCTACAACCTTCCTCCTCGGAAGCCTGCGAAGGGCAGGGTTGATTGGAGAATTCTGATGTCGGAACCAGTATTCAACAAGGTTCGGTTTTGGTTGAGGAAACAGGGAGAAAATGATCGTGATTGGGGCGTACGATACAAACGGTTCTTGGAGCAAGGCCTGTACTGTCAGTATCTCTTTGAAGCTCAACTGTTGAGGTCCCGCTCACCTCCCCGTTACAGGTGTTGCCACAGATCAATCTGAACCGCCAGCGACTGGATTCCACGTAGCGCTTGTCGATTACCTGGCGAGCAAGAACAAGATGTTGGAAGGATACCCTGCGACCTGCCCGGTACCAGGAAGAGACACCATGGGTGTTGAGCTACAACATCTCTGGGGGGCCAACGCGTTTGAAGTGGTGGAAGTGATGTTCGGTAGAAAGGAAGGTTGGAAGATGAGGATCGTCGATATACCTGAACGTAAGCACGTCTATCGTTGTGAGTAGACCGCACTTTGAACTTACCTGTGCTGTAGACCTTCGTCGAATTGAACGCGATGATACCAATCCCGAATACTTGAACATCCCCATCATCACTGCCAACGACGCCTCAGGCCGCGTTACCAAGGTCATGGCTCGAGTCTCAGACGCGAGATGCTGGTTTATTCAAGAAGTCTGCAAGGAGGCTGTTATCCGAAAATACACTAATCACCCCGATTATCGCGATCGATCTCTCCCTATCAAAGAAAGCCTCAAAAAATGGCCGGTCAAATTGTCGAAGTCTGCTCGCATGATGAAAAAGGAGGTTAAGCTCGAGGAAAGCGAACACTCAGGACTGGGGAGTCTGGGGCATGCAACGGAGAGGGATACCACAGCAGTCGAGTCGTCTGGAGCTCCCAGCGGCGGGGGCGGAGACCACAACCACAAAGAGAACCACGACATGCCACACGAGTCCGGCCATACCTTCGGCGCTTCGGACGACGACGACCCACACAATGACTACCACCCGCCGCGTCATGACCACAATGATCCACACAACGACTACGACGATTCGCGCAACAATTACGAAGATCCACACAACGACTATGAAGATCCACACAACGACTACGACGATTCGCGCAACGACTACGAAGGTCGACGCAACGACTACGAAGGTCGACGCAACGACTACGAAGGTCGACGCAACGACTACGAAGGTCGACGCAACGACTACGAAGGTCGACGCAACGACTACGAAGGTCGACGCAACGTCTACGAAGGTCCACACAACGTCTACGAAGGTCCACACAACGTCTACGACGACGTGCGAGTCAATTCCTGCAACAGGCGCAGCGATGGGCAAGAGTCCGACAGACCCGCGAGCTACGGCAAGTGGAGCTTCTGCGAGGACGAGCAGACTTGCGAGCCTGAGGGGGGTATGCGCAATTTCGCCCCTCGGCATGGTGTTGCATACTCAGCGGCGGGCAATCGGCCTTACGGAGGCCAGCGTACTCAAGAGCCCCATGTCCAACTACGCGTAGCTCGTCCGGTTAATGTCCCCAATCGAGACGCGCGCCGCCCAGAAGGCCGCTTCCCTACGTCGAACCACCGAGAACATCGAGAATACCAATGTGTGCCCCATCGTCCTCAAGTGCAGCCCTCCCCTTCCTCTCATAGCTCACGTCCGCACCCAGCACGCATGTCGCCTTCCCCACGCAACGTGGTTCGTCCGCCGGGACAGCAGGCCAGTCGCCTTGGTTACGACACAGAGGCAACTGTCGGTCACGTTCTGAAGCTCTTAGGCATCCATGGCAAAGGAGCGCCGAAGCGAAAGGCTGGAGGAGATGACGTGGCAGAATCTGAGGTTCAAGCACACCAGCGACAACCACTCCAACCTCTTGATCAAATCAACCCTTCTCGCAATATTGTAGGTAGGGGATATACCTCTACTAGTAGAGGAGAACCATCACGGGGAGGGCCCCTCCAGAAAACTTATGAAGGCCAGACACCTGCAGACTATGAACAGCAGGGGCATCTGAGACCTTCAAAGCGGATGAGAATGTGAGTACTCGCTTCGGAAACCCTTAGAATATTTTCCATATTCTTTATGGAGTTTTTCGAGAGCCTTAGAATAACCTGACTACCTTACTGAGTGTTCGGAAGGCCTTAGAATAACCTGACTACCTTACTGTGTCTTCGGAAAGCCTTAGAATAACCTGACTACCTTACTGTCTGCCTCTTACCTCTTTTCGGAAATGACTACTATTTTGTTTGAATCTGTTTGAATGTATGGATCTATTTACTGTGTCTTCGGAAAGCCTTAGAATAACCTGACTACCTTACTGTCTGCCTCTTACCTCTCTTCGGAAATGACTACTATTTTGTTTGAATCTGTTTGAATGTATGGATCTATTGTATGCAACACCTCTGAGCTGCCCTTAATGAGCTCCCACGGGGAACTCCAGAGGAGTGGATGGGCTTTGCGGGAGGTGAGATGAGCTCCCACGGGAACTCCAGAGGAGTGGATGGGCTTTGCGGGAGGTGAGATGAGCTCCCACAGGAACTCCAGAGGAGTGGATGGGCTTTGCGGGAGGTGAGATGAGCTCCCACAGGAACTCCAGAGGAGTGGATGGGCTTTGCGGGAGGTGAGATGAGCTCCCACAGGAACTCCAGAGGAGTGGATGGGCTTTGCGGGAGGTGAGATGAGCTCCCACGGGAACTCCAGAGGAGTGGATGGGCTTTGCGGGAGGTGAGATGAGCTCCCACGGAAACTCCAGAGGAGTGGATGGGCTTTGCGGGAGGTGAGATGAGCTCCCACGGGAACTCCAGAGGAGTGGATGGGCTTTGCGGGAGGTGAGATGAGCTCCCACGGAAACTCCAGAGGAGTGGATGGGCTTTGCGGGAGGTGAGATGAGCTCCCACGGAAACTCCAGAGGAGTGGATGGGCTTTGCGGGATGTGAGATGAGCTTCCACGGGAAGTTGACAAGACCCAGGAGAACTTCCATGGGAAGTCCACAAGTATTCCAGAGGAGTTGATGGGCTTTGTGGAGGAACAATAAGCTTCCACGGGAAGTTGACAAGGCCCAGAAAAACTTCTACGGGACCTCTACAAGCACTCCAGAGGAGGTGCCCATGCCTAGTGTCATGTAGCGGGTGCGCTAAATACAAACCACAACTGATGTCAAAACTTATAATAAGCCTTTGTTTACTCTGGAATAGTACAAATAAATTGTCGTTTTGGGATGGATGGATTAGTAAAAGAGAAGACTGATATTGACCATGATACAGGAAGAGTTAGTGTTAAGCGCCTCAACACTCGCATGACTCATTATACACCTTTGGCCACTTTTCTGACACAGTGCAATCACGACGTGAAATTCATCGGCTCTGGAAAGGACACAAAGGCGTCCATGTACTATAGAGTCAGTGTTAAGCGCCTCAACGCTCGCATGACTCATTATACACCTTTGGCCACTTTTCTGACACAGTGCAATCACGACGTGAAATTCATCGGCTCTGGAAAGGACACAAAGGCGTCCATGTACTATGTCACTGAGTACATCACGAAGCCTCCTCTTACAGTTCACGCAGGGTTGGCTGCCCTCTCATATGCCATACGGCACTATGTCAGTGAGGTCATGTAATCACTAAGGATTGAAGCAACTTGCAAGTATAGTGAGAGTGTCTACCTACCAATAATGTATAGCCATAGAAAGGAATTATGAAGGTTGGATGGTTACATTACTGATAGATATATAGTAGGGTGAGGTAGAAGTAGCATTTGATGCTAGGCTAGCCTGGCAGCACCAGTGCCCCACCGCTAGTGATCAACTTCCACGCGAGGACCCCAGACACCCCGCCAAGACTCCTGTCTGATGGCATCAAATCAGGAATTGGAAGGCGGACAGTGGATGGTGAGAGGAGCCAATGGAGGGTGGAAGAGGTGGAACAGGAATTGGAGAGCAGGTGGAGTTCCCAGGTTACACTTCCAGACCCTCTACTAGACCCCATGAAGTTGAAAATTGAAGGGTCTAATAGACTAGACTTCCTAGGTGACTTAAGTGCTGCTTTCTTGTTATCCAGGTATTTATCTTCTGCGGTTACGTGGTACCATACTGGTAGTTGTTCTCTTAGCTCCTGGCTTGCTTTCTGGACATCCAGTCCCATGTTATATCGCCTACCTACTTCAATCATATTCCTTATGCTTTGGGGTATTCTAGCCCATTTCGCTTTAGATTCCTTCCATGTTTGTAGTACCCAGTCCACTTTACTGGATTCTTCTAGCTTCACTTCCTTATTTGCGTTCTTCTTGATTATTTCGTCAGCTACCCACGCCCACCTCGGTCTTTCGTTTGGTGGGCTTGCCATTTTCTTAAGCCACATTATGTTTATCGCATCAATTCTTGCTTTCATGTCCGGTACATTTAGACCTCCGTCTTCCCGAGGCAGTGTCGCTCTGGTCCAGTTGATAGCCCCTTTTTTTCCACTCCATAGGAACCTTCTCATTTTCTTATTCATTTCTTCAGCCCTTCTATTTGATATTCCGTTTACCGTAGCTAGGAATATAGCTTTAGACTGAACGATCGCCTTTAAGATTAGCTCTTTTCCTTTTAGTGAAAGGTTCATCTTGCCCCACAAATCCATCCTCTTTTCTTGTTCTTCCATGATTTTGTTCCACTGTGGCTCTTGGTTGGTTTCATTTCCTATCCATGCTCCCAGAGTTCTCATTGAGGTCCCATCCTCTATTATTGTCATTCCTGCTTCTATTTGGTTTCCCGGTAATTTGTTTAGCCTTCTTTCCTTAATCACCTCTTGTCTATGTTCTTTCGTTCCGATTGGCAGGAACTCGGTTTTCTCTAAGTTGAATTTTGCTGTTGATGCTTCACAGAATTCGTCTAAAACTCTGTTGAGTTCCTTGAAATCATCGTCTTGTCGCATATACACAATGGTGTCATCAGCGAAAAGAGTTACCTTCACCGGGTCTTCCGCTCCGTTTATTTTAAACCCTTTTAGTTTACTATTCCTTAACATAATTGCCAATGGTTCGATTGCTAGATTATACAATAGGCATGACATAGGGCATCCTTGTCGTACTCCTCTACTTACTGCTATTGGTTTTGGTTTTACCCCGTTTACCATTACACTTGTCTCCGCGTCTTTGTAGATTTCCTTTACCATTCTGATAAAACCTGGTGGGAAGCCAAATTTTTCCAGGACTCTCCACAGGTAGTCGTGTGCAATTTTGTCGTATGCTTTTTCTTGGTCTAGGGCTACTATGCATCCATTTTCCTCGAATTCCCTACTGTAGCTTACCATGTACTCGGTTAACCTTACATTGTCGTATAGGCTCCTCCCTGGTACGAACCCAGCTTGGTCCGGATGGATTATTCCTTTGACTACTTCTCCTAATCTCGTTGCTATCATTTTGGTCATTATCTTATAATCGGAGTTCGTGAGTGTTACCGGTCTATAGTTTTCAATTTTTGTTCTCGCTTTTTTCTTATATAGTAGAAACATCACGCCTTTGTTGAAAGACTTTGTCTTTAGTCCGTCCTTTTTAATGCTGTTGTAAACCTTCTGTAGGATGCCTGTTATTGACCCTTTGTATTCGTCATCCGTTTGGATCGATTCTCTCTCTAGCATTTTCTTGTAGAATTCGTATGGTATCCCATCATCCCCGGGGGCTACTCCGTTTTCCACTTCTTTAATCGTTTGCCTTATTTCCAATTTCTCAAAAGGTTTGTCCATGGTTTCTTTCTCTTCTTCCTTCAATTCTACTTTAATCTCGTCGATTACTTTTTGAATTTTCTCATTATCGCCGTCTTCTCTCTTCGGTGCTTCCTGTAGACTTGCATGGTGTTTGCTTGCTATTTGTACCATCTCACTGGTCTCCGTGGTTAGGGTGCCATCTTTTCTCTCTAATGCAATTATCGCTTGTTGTTCGTTTTTGGCTTTATTTAGGGCAAACCAGTATTTCGTCCCTTTTTCCCCTTTCATTTCATATCTTGCTTTTGCTTTCCAGCTCATTTTGTTTAGATTTCTCTCCAAAAGAGTGTTTTCTTCTAGTCTCGCTTCTATGATTTCTTGTCGCGCTTTTCTTCCAATATCGCCGCTCTGTGTCAGATTTTTTGCTTTTATTATAGTCTCTTCTACTTTTTCTCTCTGTTGTATGAGGGCTCTGTTTTTGGTTAGCCACAAGTCTTTTTCTATCCTCTTCGCTGTTTTCTTTAATTTTTCCTTAGTCTCTTCCCATATCTGTTGGGGTCCCTTTTCTCTATCTTCCTCCATCTCCCTTTCACATACTTTAAGGATATCGTGTAGCTCCTTCAAAGCTTTATTATTTCCTAGCGCACTCTCTTTCATCTTCCACTTTCCGTTCCCGATGTAGGGTAGTCCTGTTTTCAAGACTGCACATGATACTACTTCGTGGTCACTTAAATTAGCGCTCCCCTCTATTTCCCATTCCACTGCCTGTTTCGCCATGTTGTTCGTCACGTATATCCTGTCTAATCTGGCTAGTCTTACTTCTCCTCTGTCCTTTTGAGTGAAGGTATACCCTCTACTGTCTGGGTTCTCTTCTCTCCACCCGTCCATCATTTGGCACTGTCTCTTTAACTCACGGAGTACTTCTTTGCATCCGCTGTCGTCGTTGTCACTCATAGGGAGTCTGTCAATGACGTCTTCTACCATGTTGAAATCACCCATCAAGATGATATGCTTGTTTTCTTTCCTGGCTTCCTTTAGTTTATCTTTAAGTTCGGTTAAGAACGTTCTCTTCTGTTGTGCTATATTGGGGCATATACATTTACTAGTAGTACTTCTTGGTCTTCTGATATGTTTGTTTTCATGCTATTGCCCTACCAGGGATCCATTCTTCTATTGAGTACTTTTTTCCTGATATCATATCTCTGTTGAGGACGAAAGCCACTCCTGCTACTCCATCTAAGTCGCTACTGCTGATTATTATCCTGGGGTTTTCTTTATTTAGTCTTTCAGCGTCGCCGTCTTTGAGTTTCGTTTCCTGTATTGCCATTATGGTGTATCCTCTTTGTCTTATTAAAGTAGCCAGTCTTTTGTATTTGGATTTCCTCTCGTGGTCTAGTTTTCCTTTGATGTTCAACGATGCAATAGCCATTTTCTGTCCTTTGGGTACCTTCTTCCTCCTTACGAATGCTTCCCCAACCCGGTCTCCGCGATTCGGGTGGGTCTGGTTCAGAGACTGGACACTATCGTTCACGTGTGAGTGGGAGCCTACTGTCCTGAGCTCTTCACTCTCCGCAGAATTCGCTCTGTTTAGACTACTGGCCTGCGGACACACAGCAGCAGGGTGCGCCACTCCCCCGATGTCACCGTCCCGTGTACCAGGACAGCCCAAGGCGCTACTCATAGCTGTTTGTGTGTTCATGATCATAGGTTTTTTGGTTCGGGCCTGGCCCAGCTTAGTTAGTGTTGTTCTTAAGTTCCTTCGAGCCTGCCCTAAAGTGTCCTGTAAAATTTGACGTTGAGGGGGGTCTACCCAGGTTGTTGCTGAGTAGACCCCCATTTACCTTAGTATATACTTAGTTTGCTACTTATGTGGTCGCTCTAGTGAGTAGACCTTTACTTACCTTTGTGTATGCTCAGTATCTGTCTTACGTGTTCCCTTTTTCGAGTATTAGCCTGAGATGATCGTGTATACTCCCCTGCATGTTACTACAAACCCTGATACAACAAATTTAACGAAAAGAAAAGGACGAAAGCGATTCCGGGGAGAGCCCCATTTTCCACTTCTAATTCCCTACTCCTCCACCTCGTCTTCTCCCATTTTTATCTCCCAAGCCACCCATTCCTTCCCCAAAAGTGAACCGACTGCTCCTACGAGTGGGCACGGTAGTTCTCGGTTATAAGGTGTCCCTACTTGTCCGTGATCTTCTCCTTTACAGATAACACAAACGTTCCTTATAACTGTGAACCTCATTGGCTTTTGACGTCCGATTTGTATCGAGAATCGCCCAGTTGGATCCAG